CACAATGGCTTCCTGCAGAAATACTCCCTTTTTTGACGAGATGGTTGCGCAGACATGATTATTAAGGAGACTGAAATGTTTTTGTTTTTCTTGTATTCCATTGGTTATGTTTTCTGTGACACACTCTCATTGTTCATATTATTCCATGAACATTGAGAAACATATTCCTTTTGCTCTATTTTCGCTTCTAATATTTTATGCGTCAATAATGGCCCCAACGTACATCGAAGTACCAATGTTATAATAATAAACCTCCTCACATTAGAGAATGTGAATGTACAAGATAAAGAGTTTCCAGAATCCAATTGGAAAGTCACGCAATACATTCCGCTCCTCCGTTAGGCTCATTACAAAGAATAAAAAACATTAAGTGGATGTGTCACATTCTTTTTTCCACATCCAATCAAACTACTCAATAATGTGAATTGTGAGAAGGGAGGCGATAATATGAACTTCATATCCTTGCTAAATAAACTCAGGACCTGAAATTGACATTTAAGTACACTCCAGAGAATAACTATGTCAGGATATGAGAAAATTAAGTTACAAATAAAAATAATTATGTATTCTATCATGTATCGTGATGTATGAATAGAAATAATGAGTATAAGGCATTAGTGCCAAGTTTAAATGAAATATCCCTACGGAATTAGCTCGTTAAATATGCATTATAGTTTAGTCTCATCCCGTATATTCGGTAATGTAATTTTTCTGTAACATTTCTGATAATATTCACAGAGGAATGTCGTGTCCTCTGGGTCTCAACATATCTGCACTAACAACGCACCAACCATTTGAAACCAGAAATTGACGTTGCTGTTCAACGAACATTAAACATTGCTATTTCGTCTGATATGAAGGTTACTTTATTAAAGATTATCACAAAATGTACATCAATCTGCTTACCACATGTAAAACCATGTGCCAATGTAAATTATCGAGCCTGGACCAGACACTCCAGTGGGTGCCATTGTGGGCATCGATCTACACCATTGGGATATGATGATATACATCCACCAAATCTGACCACCCGATCCCATTAGTCGTCGTGTGACAATCGTGGGTTGCAGAAGATGAAATCTCACCCGTATTAAAAGATGATTTGGACGAAAAGGGTAAAGCAGTGATTAATAGTGTGTGGATTCGTAACTGAAAATCAGCGATGACACAAAATGTTCCTGAATACAACAACATCCAGGGTCTTTTCCAGAATGTGCAAAACAACCCAACCCAAACATACCATTCCAGTGTGAAACAAGCCTATGAGTTCATCCACCTTTAATATATTGGTGTGTTGGTCCTGACTGAGACGTGGCGGTGCAGCAACAACATTTATGGAGTGCGAAATTCAGTCAAAACGGATAACGAAATTCGACTAAAGAAAGCGTTTGGAATCTCAAACAATCATAAAAGTTGGTATTATCCAGAAGGACGGTTCAGGGTCAAGCTTAATTGTCTTTTCCTGCTCAATCTGATATTGTGTGTTTGTTGCAGGAAAGTCGTTAATCCCCCTGACCATTTATAACTGTGTTATTTTCTTGCTTTGTTATATTGTTCTTTATATCTGGTGGAAAATACTGTGTCAATGGACAAGAAATGGAATTTTTGTTTGAAAAAACACCGTCGTAGAAATATACTTGGAAGGATGAACACTGAAGCAGAAATACTTCTTAAATTTGTTAAAAAGCAGATAAAACTACCATGTTGCCATAATTAGGACCATACGTCACGCATTATTATGGAAGAAAAGACATAAGGAGTCTTGGTATTATCTCACGGACAAGCCATGAGTTATCTGACATAGCGAGACTTGCTCTCTCCTTTGTCAATAAATGAATCGTATTAAAGAACACACATATAGTCGTGAATGTACTCAGATCTCTTCTAATATATTTGACTGCGTAATTCAGTTGTCGTCGAATTGTTATAATATGCCAAGAAAGTGGAATCTATGTTTAAAGCAAACCTTTTACATTATCTAAAGTTTTCCAAAACTTTGATATGGCAAATACATGGATTTTAGACCAGGTCCCATCCCAAAAATGTTGACTACTTAAATGATATATTTACAATCATAACAAAATACTGAAAGACTTATCCAAATATCATTGAACCGTTCGCCTTGTAAAATTGTTGTATAAAAAGATAAACAGAATCGATCAAATCCAATCGCTAACCTATTTGGACTTAAAACCTGTTATTTCAAGGCGCTCAAAACCTGGCACTACCGATGTGAAAACAATTCAGGTCTCACATGAATAGATGTCAGTTTCATTCCATTCGGACTGATTTGATGTATGCCATGTTTCGCCCATAGGTACATTTCGGGTGTAATGGAGCAAGTCTGAAAGAGTTTGATGGCGTTCAGGTGTTACCTCTATCATGCACATGCCATTTATTGCAACTGGTGGAAGCTGTACACTAACACAATTTCGGGTCTCAAATGTGGTTTTAACACATTACATTCGTACAAGTTTTCACGTTTTACCATTTAGTAATGCCATTACAGTAATAACAGATATTACAACCAGGGCATTACATTAGGGAATGTATCGAAAACATCGATCGCAAATTGCAATTCATTTAATTTGGAATATTAGGTCATCGTTGCCATTTTTCATCTAAATGGGTACAAATACTGATTATTTTGTTGCTCTAACCACTTCAACATTTTTGTCCTCAACGTAATTACACCTATTCAGCTAATCTAGTCACGTATCCAATATGAGTTCCCAGAAAGTACATCAAACGACATTACACGCTTCACAGTCGGTAATATTGTGTCGGTGTATATGGAAAATTAGATGGAAAATCGAGCAACGAGAAACCGGCAATCATCACAAGTGCTTCTTAGGTAAAATAAGTGATTAGAAATCCAGTGTCCTGACGTTGTGCTGATACATATGACTATTAAATTTGACACTACACATATAACCTTGCACGAACCGTTCATAAAAAAACTTTGGCTAAATAACTGCACAAAGGAGACTTGTTACAACTACGTTTCTACATGCTTGGGTGGTTATAACCCGATCATTTCTTTTTAGATGTCTTCGGGGATATACGCTGTTTGCGTAACATGAGTGAAGACTTCAAACGCCTTTTGAACAGTATTTCACTCATTAGAAAACGTGTTTAAACAAACACGACAGAATAACATGAAGTCACGCAGGGTTTAGCCGTTTTGACAGGCAAGTTGACAGGCTGGCTGAAAGAAGGAGCATCAAAACGACGCCATGACTGGGATCCAGACAGTCTGAGATCCGCAACCATCTGATTCTGACATAAGTAACGGAGATCCTCTTCTGATCTTTGCATGTACAAAAATAAATTGTAATCGGCACACTGCAATATCCTGACATTATCCATTTCATTCATTATATTTTTCACTTTTCATGGAACAGTTGCAATGAAAGTATATTCACCTCTGATATTAGAGAGCCATCAACTACTGAAAGCGTGGCAAAACAAGAAGGTTTCACAAATGAGTTCAGCGTATACAATAAATTTGACAGTTATGTGACAACCCACATTTCAGTCCAGACCAGGTGACCCGTAAAGATCCGGGTTAGAAATGGTCTTCAGTAACCAATGCTTGTCCGGCTCGCTGACTTGGTTATCACATGTCATCGTATCTCAATTGCTTACAACGATGATCAAGCTGTTGATTACTAGATTGTCTTCTCCAGGCGCGACTATTTACAGACCGCCGCCATATAGCTTGAATATTGCTGAGTGCGGCGTAAAACAACAATCAATCAGTCAATTAATCCAGCCCCGGTCATGCTGTCCCAAGTCATTGATCTACTGTAAACATACCCGATACTTATGTGCTAGTTTGTTCTAAACCTGTTTGCACTTGTCTCAGATTCCAAATTTTCTGAAAATTTAATCAAGAACCAAATGCCCGTTTCAAAGAAGCACATAAAATGGAAATAAATTCAACATAATCAAGCAAATTTACGCTGTGCATTTCTCAAATTAGATTGAAAATCGTCCGTCTGGATTTGGGAGATTACCCTTGTCAAAAGTCTTTTAAAGTTTATCAGATTTAATGACTGACTACCCAGTGCACTGATGACATTGTGTCAATAAATATGACGCAGTTTGTAAGACGTGGATTGTATATTACATTATGGGCTTACTTAGTTCATAATGTCAGCAGAAATTGGCACTCAAAACAATTGATCAATTTACGCGGTAGGACTTCAGTGTATTATATATTCTTATTTACATGACCCATACCTTACAAGCCAGTCCCTAGAATTCTGCTGGGCGTATGTCTGAAATATGAACAACAAAAATAGTAAATTACAAGCAGATCAAGGTTTCTTTGACACTATCCTGCAAGCAAAAAATACGCAATTGTCACCAGAAAAATCAAATATCCGCCCAAACCGGAGCCTGATATTACAATTCTGAAAAGGTAACCGGTAAGGCAAATGAACAGTGATCTTTAATGTTGTAGAATTTTTATGGCCCTGGCAAATTCAGTTTTTTTTGTTAGTCTTTGATGCCCTCTTATCAGTTCATGCTCTGTATTCTTTTACTGGCTCAAATTACTGGCTCCATGGCGAGAAAGAAAACGCCCACCTTTTCATTACTGTTGCATAGTTAATACAAAATGTCCATGAGCTTCTCGGAATCAAACAATGCACACTTTTTTAGTAAATATGCAATGACAGAAATGAGTTTGTTGCTTATATTCACTGTCTCCTTCTGTCAGTGTCGTCCTTAATAAATAGTCGTGAATCATTATGAAGTAATGCCAAAAGCTCTATCCACTTTTCTTAAATCACCAAATTCATATATGACTGAATTATGTTTTGTCGCTTTGATGAACTCACGTTTTATTCTTACAAATGTACAGTTGTAATTTTCTTACTCTTACTCTTACTCTTCTGTAATTTTGACACAGTTAATACAGTACAGTGTCATAAGTTGCCCTGTTATTGTACCCTGAAGACAATATTTGTTATGACTCGACATTAACATTGAACATTTCTCTCCGGAAAATGATTTCCAAAGTTTCTTATATGACATAGGAAACAACATATTGAATGTAATTAACATAATTCCGAAAAACCCGCTTAATTATGTGACTTATAAGCAGTCAAATGTGGCAAGGACAAATTGGCACACGTTGAACCTTTGAGGAAATCCGTGATTACGGACAGGAAAGGGAATCAACAGGGATTATAGATAATCAAACTGGAGGCTAAATTGCCACATTTGACCAGAACCGAGTTAGAATTGGTTTTCAGCAAGCCATGCTTATGGCAAATGCTTGTATACTGACCACATATCTGGTTCAAAGTATACATATTTGTGACTAACACTGCTAAGATTCGAATATCCCACTGTCACCAATATGCGCAGTGTATATCTTTTAGTCAATTTTATCACGTTTGATTTCAATCAAAATATATATATAATTTAGCAATAAACATTACAAAGAACATTGACTGTACTGGCGCCTAAAGAACATTAAAAGAATATTTCTACCTGGCTTCCTAAATGATTAATAGCCCGTCCGAATATATAAGTCGCATTAATGTGTATCTGTTATTGACTACACCATTGTTTATTGTTTGCAGTCTGCCGCCAGTCAGCTGTAATATTGCTGAGTGAGGCGTTAAAACAATATGACGTATGCTCATATCATAGTTGGAATTGTACAGTCGTCTCTGCTTTTATCAGAAATGTTGAAGGGTTTTGTCGCTTTATTTACGTTTCAGAATATCACTTTATTCAAAATTGCAAAATTTAAGTGAAAAATAATCATAAAACGCAACTGAAAATAGGCATCTTAGACATGTCATATTTCAGAACAAATAAATTTGCTTTATCCGGCACAAGATAACCACATTTCAAACATTGCAGGGGTTGCAATCTAATTTCTTACCCCAGCCTTCATTGGCCCAGTTAAAATTTACACAAAATTACTTAGCTTCGGGTTACTTCTGTCAAACCATTGCAGACATGCGCGGTGGCCAAATCGATATAATCCTATTAGCACACAGTTCTTTCAGTTTGACATAAATGCAAATATGGTATACTATTTTTTTTCTGGTTCAATGTAATCTGTCAAAGTGTGTTTCTATGATTGTAAATGCAAGATTTCTTTACATACATTTCAATGTACAAATCTTTCAAATGAAATTGTTTACTAAGTTGTGAGAATTGGTTTTAAGTATTTTATCCATGGTGGTCCAATAATTAAAACACTTAGTTAAAATCTAAAGTTCATTTCCATTTAAATCCTTATAAGTCAAAAGTGTAAACAATGTGGCCCAGTAAATTTCCATTACCCTGTGGCCTTAACCTTCATGTGTGATGTCAAAGCTCACAGGTCACATGATGACCTCTCCAAAGCTCATGCATTTTGGAGCACATGCTTGCCAGTGTGTATTGGACCTCCATGCTGCCTGGTTGTCACCCAGCTGACTGTAAGCTGAACTATGTAAAGACACATATGTGAGTACTTTACCCTTTCATTGCTAGGTTGTACTATCTATAAATTACAATGAAATTGTATATATGCCAAAAGTTAATAGGTTGTGCAAAAATTGTTAATATATTTCACACAATTATTTGTAAATTTGTAGTTGTTACTTTTGCAATTTCAATGTATTCACATATCATTCGAATGAAACATTGAATGTTATGTGCTCTGAAATTTGACATTTTGTGAATTTCATCGAAAGTTATTGTTTGTTGTAGTTTTCTGAACCTCATCAGCTCATCAGCAACTTTACTCTTCAAGTGAACGCAATAATATTCATCAAATCCTCAGCAGCAGCCACTTATTATGAACTGTAATTTCTCAAATATTAATACATTAAACCCTGTTGATGCGAGTATCAGTTTTTGTGTTCTGCATTAACAATGATATAGTTTTGCATGGGTACGAAAAACAATTCACGTCTAGTAAATATTTGAGTTGGGAAGTTTGCCACTTATATATAATGCGTGCAAACCGTTGTAATATATATGAAAGTATCACTTAGTCATTTAATGATAATTTTATGAATTTGTTTTATATTTAGGAATTTCTGATTTCAAAGACCCAGGGTAGTGAGATTGAATGCAATGATTTGAGGTGAAGGTCTACAGTGTGATGACAGGTGTAAGGATAAACGTCCGTCGTCACGTGCCGAGCAACGCCTGCAAAATACTAAACCAAAAAAAAGAAAAAAAGCCCAAAACAATCAGATCAACCGTCAAAATGAGAATATATTAGCAAAACGGAATGTTCAAAATTCACCAACAGAAATTCACTGCCTCCATCACACCGTCAAAGTTTAAAAAAATATGTCTGATTAGGATTGCAATAACCTTCAAGATGAGCATTTCCGAGTTCCTGTTGTGTTACAGGAAGGGTGAGGTGAGGTGAAATTGGGTTTAACGTCGTGCTTGAGAATATTTTGCTCATATGACGACGTGCATGCGTGTGTATGTGTATGTGCGGCTGCTTGTACTAGCCCAGACTGAAGCTTGTTTTATAGTGCTAGCCCACTGAGATACCATGCCGAAGTGAAGCATGAATACCCCACTCAGACACATTATACTGACTCCGAGCCGACCAGTCCTTGATGTACCTATTAATGCCGAGCGCCAGGCAGGGACCAACAAGTACCATACTTTAACGTCTTTTGGTATGACGCGGTCGGGGATCGAACCCGCGACCTTCCGCTCTCCGGGCGGACGCTCTAACCACTACACCACGGAGGCGGTCTGTTACAGGAAGGGCGTCGTAGTGACAGTTTGCGAGAGTATGTCTGCCTGCCTGTGTGTATGTGAGTATGGATGAGTAGGTGTGTTTATGTGTGTGCAAGAGAGATTGAGTGTATGTCTTCACGTATATAATTCATGATAAAAAAAAATTCTTAACAGCAAAAACATGGTTTTGACTGTCAATACTAGCTCAAAGTCAAAACGTTTTTAATGAACGTTTCTCATGATCTTGTAATATTTTAGATGGAAACATTATGGTCATGTAGTTTCATGCCTCTATACCAAAAGTACATGGAATAATTCCTGTACATGAGAAATGTCAAGATCTCAATAGATATAAAGTCTATCAATGTAAGTGGTGTGACATCATATATTTACGTTTCCATTGTGTTGGAGGCTATAACACGAGCGATGATAAGTGTCTGGGACTGATTGCTTAACACGAAACAGTGGAATCATGATTTTGCTCCACAGTACCATCGGCGGATCGAATATAAACGCGTTACTAAGTTACAACAGCGCATAGCCAGCCTTCCTGGTAAAGTCATTGATGCAGGGATATACATCCTACGACAATAGTTCTGGACCCATACAATCCAGTGATCAAGAGTGCATCTACGCAGATGGGATATGATGGTCAACCAAGTCGGCAGCCTGACCATCCGACCGTTAGTCGCCTCTAACGACAAGCATAGTTTGCTGAATCCCAATTCTAAACTGGATCTCCACAAAAGCAAGCAGAATGGAAGTGTCAAATTCAGGAATCAAAGATATAAAATCTCGACACTAAACAAAGATTATGTTGTCTCAATGACTTGCGTGACTTGAAGGGAGTTTTAACACAATACAGTAGTATTTCAGACAACCGTTACAGAACACCTTTTCTTACACACTTGTGGGTAAGAAACCTATGTGAGTAAACTTGTATCAAATATATGAGTGAGATCGATTTCCAGGTCCCTGATTGGCTACTCCATAGTGAGTACCTTAGGTCAGATTCTGATGGCCTTGTTTTCTGAATGAAATCCATTGATAAATTACTCGTGACACACGGCGTCTTTATACCAAGCTACGATTGAATCGTAAACAGGTATTTATGCGATAAAACAAAATTTAATTTAAAATAGAGAGCAACACAAATGTAGTGTTTTCAATGATCTTTGGGAACTTTAGATTCTATATATGAGTTCATGATACTTGAGCTATCAGTAATGGCTATGGAAGCTATGCAAATACCGATGTTCGAGAACATACAATCTGAACATACAAAATGCAAAAACTAGGTACTTTTACTGGAGTTATGCAACGACATGATAACGTCAATGTCTGTCCAGTGTGATTGTGATTTGCGTTTTGGTTTGATTGCCGAACTGAACGACAATTACCTTTTCTCTCCGCCCGATAAACATGATGATTCTTTAGATAAAGATCATTCCAGTCCCTGAGCTACTATATTAAAAACAAAAACAAAACAAAAATACATACAACAATGATTCCGGGAAAACAAGAAGGCAGTCCCCCTCCACGATAGTGAACGTAACCTGAGCAATGTCACCTATAAGCACACGGGTGACACTAAATAACAGGCGCTTATAAATATTTTGGCTGAACATTGAACGTAAATTTTTACACAAGTGCAGATGCCTTTTGTGCAAAGATATCCTACCAATCTCCCGATGGTGACAACTGCATCGAAACTCAAGGAGCTACACCAGCAAATGTTCTGAACGCTTACAATGACGTCCCACTGTCAGTTATTTTATACTTGCAAGAAGTAAACTCATCTACATCTACGTTGCAATGCCGTCGCTATTGGGGTGTATAAATGTTCTTTGATCTGATTTAGTTTGCATTAGCGCCTTGACAATGCACAGAAACATTTTTGTAGAGGGTCACCTTGACATGACTAGTGACCAGGACGCCGAGTGAGTCACTGATTCATAAACGTTGTTGCGCTACTACGATGAGATAATGTGAAATTTGAAAAGTGGTGCGATTTTATGGCGTGTAAGAAACATATTACTGTTCTCTCGCTGTGAGATAAATAGTGCCTTGTGAATTCATGGCATAATGTTTATGACATACATAGTTATATACAATGGTCTGCAGAGAAAATAAGGATTCAAGAAACCATGTGACCATGAAGCAAGCCAGAAACACGTAATCGTTGGTTTGTATCTCCAGTTCAGCCTGATTGTGTAAATGATTGTGTGTATATTTGTGTATACGAGCTTGTTAGTGTGTACACGTTTGTATGTTTTTGTACAAGGTGAGTATACTGTGCGACTGAACATGTTTCAACAAACGTACATCCCATGTTGGGTCTGACGCTTTTTTCAGCGCTTTTTAATAGCAATTTCGTTTATATTGTTAAACCTTCATTTCAGTGAAGTTATGGAATCAGCGCAAACATACAACCAGGTATAGATTATCTGACAGAGGGAAGATACCGGCACACCCTCATACAATTTCCGATTTCATTCCATCATAAATTCTGTACATTTGCTTTAACCTGATACACCCCAATCCACACATTATTTCAAATGGAATGTATTGATTGTGATTCTGAAAACTATATTGACTTTACAGAACGGAAAGGGCAATGCTCCCATTGATACAATTTGCCAACAGTATTTTGAATAAAATAGATAAAGCTTCTGCATCATTTGTCAGAAGTTTCATATCTGCAAAATACAGTTGGTAATATTGATGAGATATATCCATATATCATTGCTCAGATCTCTAACAAACCCTCGGTTCCAAATATCATTGATCCATTGCTATTTTCTATTACATGCATTCCATCAGTATTGGTGTTTACTCAGGCGTAAAGGGATAAAATATTAATCTATTACCGCTGTTCAGCTTCATCAACCGGTAAATTATATCAAATGTATTCATGTGCCTAGAATACACATAATCAATCTTATGGACAATATATGTTTCATAAGCTTTAATCCAAAGAAAACATATAACACTGTTGGCTACATGTATAGGTAATCAGAACTAATGACATGCTTTTATGCACATACCATCAATTCCTGATGTCTTGTGATAGTTTATTAACAGATTGTCAGTGTGAAAACAACAACTCTAATAAAACAAGTACGATGCAAAAAACGAGTTCCTCTCTGAAACCCATTGATGTCCAGAGACAGCATAAATTCTGTCGATAAAGGCAATAGTTATGACCTCCATGAAATTTTATTTTAAGTCAGTCGCATAATTCATGGTAAAAGAGATGTGTAACATGGAGATATAAAAAATGTCGAAGTGTTCTGACATGATTGAGTTTAATAGCGACGTCAGGAGTCACACGAACGAAGTTAACATGCTGGAATATTCAATTGAATGGAAGGTCTTCAAAATATGTATATTATCGCCTTTTGTCTAGTTGTACAATACAAGTCTTAAAATCGAAATACTTTCTTCCATCTGCATCTTATATGTATGACTGTTATCATATATATTTAGATATGGAAGGACATAAGTTTGAGATTTATGAACAAATTTTCCTCTGATGTAGTTATTATATTAACAATGTTTGAATGTTAAATCGTGTTAATGAATGAGTTTATAACATAATACAGCGATGGAACGTGAACATGAACGCTTCATTCGAATCCTCCTTCACAAGGTAGACCTTCCCAGCTGTTATAAAGACACTTTATCACAGTTGTTAATACCAAACTCCTAGAAATGGATGAGTTCCTTCTTCATGCCTTTTTTTCATTTCCCTGTCAATCTATTTAACGGAGCACCTGTTTTTTAATGCCTGCTGTGTGACAGACTCATGCATTCGCGTGGATCTCTGAAACTGAAGAAGGTTATTATGTTTGGTTTCTGTAAACGTATATTTTTTACTTCGACCGAAAAACTGTTAACTGGTTTCGTAGGAAGTTACGAAAGTGTCACTCTAAAAAAATCGAGCAAAGAGAAGCCTCAGATGCACAATCTTACAAACTTACACATTACAAAACCGGTCTGCATCCCCTCCACTACTGATAGCACCCACATTGTCAGTTAGGTCCAAGATCACAATACGCCTCATCATTAGGACACATTCTACTACCATCCAAGTCAAGGCTATACTGCATGAAGAAATACTCTCGACAAGAGACGGTCACCAATGCAATGCCTATTAGGGTCAGATAATGAAGGGCAATTGTTGCCTTGTGGTAGTCAGAAGTCATCATGTCGAGGCAATACGGCACAAAAGAGCACAAATTGGAAGCTGTTGGCATAATTAGGTCAGGAATCTACATCGACAGGAAGCTAATGATCTCAAAGGATTAGAACCGAACTAAATGTTCCGATCATAAATGCGATGCTTCTACTGGCGTCTATGTAGTGTTATAACCTGCGAACATGTTTACAGTTTATACAGCTTCTTGTTATTTCATGGATTAGAACAAATGTCCAGAACATATTTAACATGAACGTACAACATTGTTTTCAAGTCATTCGTAAAAGGGAATTCATTTTGTTTCCTATACCGTCGTTTTAGTTATGAGAATCCCATATGGACACTGTAAACAAATGGAACTGAAGGGCAGTAACTGACAACCTGCTTCTGATTTATAATGCAACACAGACATCTGATCCAATGAGCTGAATGATACAAAACTCTGCACATGAGCGTACATCAAGCGCAAAGGGGGATTACCCCTTTTCAACCTTTTAACCTAACCCGTGAAGATCCGTGATAGAATCGGTCTTCAGCAACCCATGCTTGTAAGAGGCGACTAATGGAATCGGGTGGTCAGACTTGCTGACTTGGTTGGCATATGGATTGTCTTGTCCAGATTCGATTATTTACAGTCCGCTGCCATATACAATGTAGCTGGGATATTGTGGATGGCAGCCACAATAAAACAAAAAATTTCAACGTTAACCTAATGTTGAGTTACTTACTTTCTTGCTGAAGATAATAATGCATAAATTGCACTCACTTTTACACATAAACCGAAGCTCCAGAAACACTCATCCACTCTCGTCTGACATTGATAATATTGGCCAAAGTCAAAGGCAAGGTACATAATGAAAGCAAGCCTGGTCTACCTCATTTACCTTAGTATGGTGATCTACCTTCAGTTGCAGGCGATCTATAGCCCATTTTCATATTGAGTTGTTAATTAACGATTTACAATTTGATATGCTCCGAAATTAGTTTTAAATAAAATGTGATGATCTAGTTGTTATACTGTCCGTTGACGACAGGGTTTTATACCGTTTATAATATGATTTCATATATTTGTTACTGACGTATAATTTTCTCACGTATATGGCTGAACTATTGCTGATGTGACGATAACGTTTAAGTCACTCACTCATTACCGCATCATTGAGTCATATACATATATGTGGCCATCTGAGCCAAATTACCCGCTTGACGAATTGTGCAGACACAGGTAAACCGTATGTGACTGGGTGAATTTAATTATCAATCTTGGATAAAGCACTCTGAACCGGATTAGACATGCAAGTCCAATAAGACTGGTTCAAAGTTTTGAGAAATATCCCATGGTGAACAGAAACTGAGTGATGTTTTGGTTATCAGAATACATGAGTGAGTGTTTTTGCGTTTTAGGCCGCATTTAGCAATATTCTAGCACTATCAGTTCTGAGGGACACCAGGAATGGGCTTCACATTGTACCCATATGGGAATCGAACATGGGCCTCCGGCGTGACGGCGAACGCTTTAACCGCTGGGCTACACCACCGTCCCTGAAATTCATGGAAATCTTAGGCTTCGAGTCAGTAAATACCCATATTTAACGACTTGTCTACTGTTACATTGTCAGCAATTCATTTGAAGTTAATCAAGAATAAATTCTCTCCATCTGCAATGTAGTAGTTTGCTCATGGTATACCTTTCTTTGATCTACTATTATTTAGATATAACAGTTTACAGTTGGTTAAATGGAGGTATGTTTGCACCCGCGAAGGTCCAGGTTAGAATGTACCTTCACTAACCCATGCTTGTCGTAAGAGGCGACTAACGGGATCGGGTGGTCAGGCTCACTGGCTTGGTTGACATATGTCATCGGTTCCCAATTGTGCAGATCGATGCTCATGATGTTGATCACTGGATTGTCTCGTCCAGACTCGATTATTTACCGACCGCCGCCATATAGCTGGAATATTGCTGAGTGCGGCGTAAAACTCAACTCACTCACTGAGGTATGTTTGCTTAAATTCTACCACATACACACACATAAATGTCTAAACGACCATAACGTTTCAAACAAACAGTGCTTCAAGCGGTTTAGAAGAACGATTATGTCGGTGTATATTGCCGTGTTTTTGGTTCATTATTAAACAAATTTGTAACGCAAAGTGAAATTCAGAATTAAATTTGGAGAGTGTATTTAATGTGTAATGGAAAGAATATTGTTTTATCATCCTTCGTTCTCGTCAAAAACAAATTTCTTGTTACATTCTTCCCTCTAACTGTTTAAGGAGAAGCTTCTTACCTCAAGTTAAAACATTAATTTACAGAAAATGTTGAAGGTGGGGATTAGAAAACTGATATACATAACGACATATATTCACCTTTTTTGTTTGAAATATATGATAAAAAAAAGAAAAATCACGTTTTGTTTGTCAGATATTTTATGAATACCAATTTTCGATAAGGACAAACTTTATGGATGAACAACTTCTTTATCTAGGTGATGCGACGTTTCGATACAGATCTGCCTGACAACATACAAGAATCTGTATCGAAACATCGCATCAGTTGAATAAAGAAGTTGTTCATCCATAAAGTTTGTCCTTATCTGACTCTCCAACTTCTGAAAAACCTACACAAAGAAGAAATACCAATATTGTTCATTACATTGACCTCTGTTTGTCCTTCATACATTCATGTCGACACGACCCAGTATTGCAATGCTGATTTACCTCCACTCATGACTCATATGAGAATTTTTTATCGTGTGTTGCAAGGTATAAAAACATCAGCATACACTATTCGTGTGGAAATGTACTGTAAGTCCCCATGGTCCCTAGTAAGGTGATCTCCCTTCAGTTGTTGGCGATCTATATTGTCCCTAATAGTCATATATTGTCAAATTGTGATCTTCTAGCTGTTTTATTGTCCTTTGTCGACAGATTTTATATTATCTATTGTTAACATATTAACTGTTTTAGTCACGATATGGCTGAAATATTGCCCATGTGACCATAATTTTTCATTTACTCACTCATTTTGTTGCAGTATCACATGGGAACTGGCAATAGCAGAGCGAAAAATCAGGCCCCATGGAAACGTGTCAGTTTCATTCCAATTCAACTGAGTGTTTTTTTGCCATCTTCCGCCCACTGGTGCATACACATGTCTAAAAGCGTTTGGTTCAGGTGATGACTCTGTCATGCCCACTCATTTATTACAACAGGTGGAATCTATACCTTGACGTTTTATCTCTTTTCAAATGAAGTTGGGGCGGTGGGGTAGCCTAGTGGTTAAAGCGTTCGCTCTCACGCCGAAGACCCGGGTTCGATTTGGGCACAGTGTGTTAAGCCCATTTCTAGGTCGCCGTGATATTGCTGGAATATTGCTAAAAGCGGCGTAAAACTAAACTCAGTCAGTCAGTCAGTCAAATGAGGTCGTAGCGCATGTAATTCATACAAGTGAGCAACTAATATGGTTTAGTAATCCCTATACAATAAGTAAGACACATTCAATGTGAAGATATATGTATAAAAACATCGATTACGGATTGCAATTAATGAATACCTTCATTTTTATAAAAAAACAAACAATTAATTTGGAATATCAGGTCATCATTGCCATTCTTCATCGAATTGGGTACAAACAGTGGGTTTGTATACTAACCAGTTCAGACGTTTCACATTTTAATTGTTTCATCGGCATTCTAGAAGCTGGTGAGTCAATAATGAAGCATGCGACTTTATTGATAACAACTTCTTGTTAATTGCATGGACTGACTCGTAATGACAGTGTAGGCATCTACACCTACATGTCGTTCTATGCAATAGACAAGAAGCTGTTATCCATAAAGCCGTATGCTTCATTACTTTCACATTCGACCTTGATGATTACTATTCTGCTAATGCAGTCACGCATCCAATACGTCTTTCCAGGAAGTACATCAAACAGTCGGCAATAACGTGTCCGTGTATATGTAAAGGGTAATTGAAAATTGGTCATCGAGGAAGCGGATAAAATTGCACTCGTAAAATGTGTTTTT